AGAATGGAAATGGGGAATATGTCAAAGAGACAACAACCCGATCAAAGAGCAGACAACAGCCAAAATCACCAATGGGTCTTCAACGCAGCGAGAAAACCCGCACCCGGAGGTGGTCCTCAGCTGGCCCCTAAATAAAATTGTGTACTAGTTCAGTGAAAATGGACGTCACATAATCAGCACATTTTTACAGTATATTAGTACCGAAAAAAATACTGAGTTTAATTTAGAGTTACCTCCACATTGACTTGTTGATATGAAATAGACGTCCAACCTTTGGCATTGCATACGTGTAGAAAAAGTCCTCTAAAAAATTTCAGTCAAGATGAAAATGAATAAGAAGGGTGAAAAAAATCACATAATGAGAAAATTGAATTAGTTGGTTGAAGTGTTTAAATGTGTGATTTGCCTCCCCCAAAAAGAGAATGAATAAAAAAACTATCACTTCCTTTATTCTTAGATTGTATTTTAATCGAATATTATTTTGAAAGAATTTTAATCAGTTCAAAAAATATGTGCGTGAAAGTAAAATGATATATCTTTAATATTTCCTTACTAAAAATAATTTCCCCAAAAGGCAACTGCATAAATGTTAGAAATAGTATACTCTTAAGGAGTGAAATGAAGCAAAAAATGGAAATAATTTGACTGAAAAAAATATTTCAAAGAACAGTGCAAAGTGAAGAAAAAAGAAAAGGGCAGGGTAGGGCTCAGCTATATTTAGTTTGATAACTAATGTACAACAATTGTAGATTCTTTTTGAACAAATTGGGTAGCCCTTAAAAGGGCTGTTGGTGGCTGAATAGCCTCTGCAGACTGTAGTCTGGAACAGTTTACTTCTTCTTTGGTGTCTTCTTGGCTTTTGGTTTGGCTGCCTTCTTTTTAGCTGGTGACTTGGCTGCCTTCTTTGGCTTGGCTGCTTTCTTTGCTGCTGGTTTCTTAGCTTTAGGCTTGGCTGCCTTTTTCTCTCCAGCTGGTTTCTTTGCTGCCTTCTTTTTCTTAGGTGTGCTCTTTGCCTTCTTTGGCTTGGCAGCCTTAGGTTTAGCTGCTTTCTTTGCCTTTGCTGGCTTCTTTTTAGCTTGTTTTGCTTCTCCAATTCTGAAAGATCCGGATGCTCCAGTTCCCTTGGACTGCTTCAAACTGTTGTTCTTAACTCCGGCTCTGAGTGCAAGTTTTAAATGAGCGTTTACTGACTTGGCATCTTTTCCGACGTTGAAGTTGGCCATGATGTACTTCAAAATTGCTTGCCTTGAGGAACCTCCACGTTCTTTCAAAGCAGCGATGGCTTTCCCAATCATCTCGCTGTATTTAGGATGTGCTGAAGGCTTCTTTGGCTTAGCTGCTGCCTTTTTCTTTGGTGATTTATCTGGTGCTGGTGCTGGTGCTGGTGCTGCTACGTCTGCCATTTTGAACGATTCAAAATATTATCCTTTACGAAGTTTATACTACGAATAACGATTTGAAAATAACGCCATTCAAGGCCTCGTTTATTTATAACAGACGAACGCGGACCTCGACGAAGACACCCTTAAAAATAACTTGTAAAATCCATTACGCGATCTCGGTAAAATGATTATGTGCTTCTTCGAAGACTTTTATGATAATGTTTAGTATAATTCTATCAAAAACATTCACATATAGCATATCAAATTGCTCAACAGTCATTAATCTTGCAGGTTAGATAAACTGTGTATTTTTCAATGAACACAGTAGAAAGATATTAATAGTTAAAGTAGAACCGACTGATTTGTCTTCGCAGGTATGTTGACAGAAAATTTACGAGTTTTTCTCAATAGAAAAATATTCTACCGTCGTAAAATTGTGCAGCGGAAGAAATATCATTTCTCTACAGGTTTCTTTCCGTTTTTATTCACTGGACGTATGTTACTCGTCGTAATAAGTTTGTTTTCAGCTGGAGGGAAACACACAAAAAGTTCACGCGCCATTGTTTGGTTGCAGATTTTTACGAAAACTTCAAAAAACATTTTTATTCAACCTGAGCGAAATTTCACAGACATCCTAGATTCGAATGAATAAAACCAATATCTAGAATATGTATTTGGAATGTCGTTTAATTTAATCTAGCTTTGGGAACTTTTCAGAGAGCGACTTTATGTTCAGTGGATATGAGGCACTAGAAAACTGTGCTGTATGATGCGTCTCTGCTTTTATTTCCATTTTCATGTAAAATTTGAGCACTTCGTGCTCTAAAACTCGAATATGTCTTGTTGAATATATCATATTTTTCAAAAAATATATGTACTTAATTTTATTATCAATTAAACGATGGTCCGTGCTCGAACTGGCCACCTGAAAGTTTCAATACAAAATATACCAACCAAACCAAAGATTCTTGTATTTTTATAATTCGAAAGTTGTACACATCATTTGCCTCTAAATTAACAATTACAAAGGTTCATCTGTTTTTAAAAAGGGGGGGGGGGGGGTTTCACGGTGAAGACTCTGGCCATAAATATGCATTTTTCCTATATACGCTAGGCAAGTATAAGACCAGAATCGGTACCGGGTGAAGCAGCATACACACGGACGATTCAAAAGAGACATAAAGACAAACATCACACCAATGTTAACCATTAGACTTGGGGCAAAAATCGTCTCCACTGTATTTAACTGAACCCCTTCCCCCACAAAAAAAAATCCCGAGGAAAAGGGGGGTGTATATATTTTCAATGAATGATAGTTGGACTGAAATATTTGTTACCTATTGCAACATTAACAAGCAGATTTAATGTAAAAAGAATCCCAAAGCAAGATTGAAACGAAGAAAAAGATATTCTCCGTTAAAAAAATAAATAAATAGGTTTCTCTATTGTCTGTTGATTTCTGTGAAGGCCAATTAGCATAGCGTTTAATGGATGTTAGTTCAAGTCTCAACATGCTGTGGGTTTTTCTTTCTTTCTTAATTTGTAAACCCTTTTTTCTGTTTCTTTTTCATTTTTGTGGAGGATTATTTTTTTTGGGGGGGGGGAGTAATTGTTTGACATGAAATTTAGTTGTTTATGAATAGAACACACACTTTAATAGTAAATCCAAAGTACTATTTAGGTCGTTTTTTATTCCCAGCATGATGGAACTATTTTCTACATGTTAGGACAACCTCATGATGTTGACAACCAGTAGAAATTTAAAACTTTTTCTTTCTAGTTCTCTCTTAGTCGTATCAAATCCAGAAAAAAAAGAAATAAGAATCAATTTCTATCAAACGTGATTCCTATCCCTCTTTTCAGCTATGGTTAGAAACGTAAACAACAGGACAAGTTTGGCATGTTCTTTGGGACAGAAACCCAACAACACCAGATCGATAGATTTTTTATTTCCAATAGAGGACTTAATCTATAATCAAATATTTCATTCTTGGGCTTTTTATTACTTTCTATCTCCTTTTTTATTTTCTTCTTTTAATGTTTTTATGAATTATCATATTTGAAGCTATTCTTTTCATATTGACATTGAACGCCTTTTCTCTGTCTCAATATACAGTATTTATCACAAATGAAGGAAAATGTCTTGGCGAAAAGAGGTGTGTTTGCTGTCCGGGGGTTAGAGTAGTCTTAATTGAAAACGGCAGCAACAAACGTTTCTCAATGTATACACAAATAAGCGCATTTAATACTGTCAGTCACACATTGTCTGTATATACTAGTAGAATTTGTTTTTCTGTGTCGTTAAGTTGCTGTCATTTCAATATGAAAATAACCTCTTCTGTTATATTAGAATCCTACAATTTCGTAAACAATCCTTTAAAATGCATGATACATGTTATCAAAGAAATAAACCCTTTTCTTACCTTTTGTACAAATGTCCGTCCATCCTTGTTTTAGTTCATAACAGTAGACGTGCTACGTATGTGACGTCACTGTATTGTTTCTGGTTTATTCATCTCGCGTGCTTTGAACAGATTAAAATGACATAACAAAGACACAGACAGTCGTCAAAACACTAAAAAACAGAGAGAAAAAAGAAGAGAAAAACAAACAGGACAACCCATTTTAAAGAAACATAAAAGCAAGTAGGTGCATTTATTTCATACACGAGTAAAACAAAGGAAAATTCGAGAGGTGAAGAAAAGTATAAATATGGTTACATAATCAGCTATCGTCAATAACAGGAACGCTCCTTTTACTCTCCCCCAACCCCAAACACACATCTCCAACGATAGAACCACGATGAAAAGCGAGTCCAAACATAAAAGACTGATGATATATGAATGTAAGTACACTCGCACTATATATATCTGCATGTAATAAAATGAAAAATAATTGCAGAACTGTTAAATGTTTAACAAAAACCTCCATACTTTAGAGTTTCCTGCTAACTTTTAATACACAATTGTAGTAATTTTGACAACAAAAAAAAACAAAAACAAAAAATAACAAACGTCACTGCATTCATTTTCTATTTGTTTACTTGTATGTTGACATTACATCTATACATCTTTTGTATTGTAAAATTGAGAATGGAAATGGGGAATCATGATGTCAAAGAGACAACAACCCGACCAAAGAGCAGACAACAGCCGAAGGCCACCAATGGGTCTTCAACGCAGCGAGAAAATCCCGCACCCGGAGGTGGTCCTCAGCTGGCCCCTAAATAAAATTGTGTACTAGTTCAGTGAAAATGGACGTCACATAATCAGCACATTTTTACAGTATATTAGTACCGAAAAAAGTACTGAGTTTAATTTAGAGTTACCTCCCCATTGACTAGTTGATATGAAATAGACGTCCAACCTTTGACATTGCATACGTGTAGAAAAAGTCCTCTAAAAAATTTCAGTCAAGATGAAAATGAATAAGAAGGGAGAAAAAAATCACAAAATGAGAAAAATGAATTAGTTGGTTGAAGTGTTTAAATGTGTGATTTGCCCCAAAAAAAAAAGAGAATGAATAAAAAAACTATCACTTCCTTTATTCTTAGATTGTATTTTAATCGAATATTATTTTGAAAGAATTTTAATCAGTTCAAAAAATATGTGCGTGAAAGTAAAATGATATATCTTTAATATTTCCTTACTAAAAATAATTTTCCCAAAAGGCAACTGCATAAATGTTAGAAATAGTATACTCTTAAGGAGTGAAATGAAGCAAAAAATGGAAATAATTTGACTGAAAAAAATATTTCAAAGAACAGTGCAAAGTGAAGAAAAAAGAAAAGGGCAGGGTAGGGCTCAGCTATATTTAGTTTGATAACTAATGTACAACAATTGTAGATTCTTTTTGAACAAATTGGGTAGCCCTTAAAAGGGCTTTTGGTGGCTGAATAGCCTCTGCAGACTGTAGTCTGGAACAGTTTACTTCTTCTTTGGTGTCTTCTTGGCTTTTGGTTTGGCTGCCTTCTTTTTAGCTGGTGGCTTGGCTGCCTTCTTTGGCTTGGCTGCTTTCTTTGCTGCTGGTTTCTTAGCTTTAGGCTTGGCTGCCTTTTTCTCTCCAGCTGGTTTCTTTGCTGCCTTCTTTTCCTTAGGTGTGCTCTTTGCCTTCTTTGGCTTGGCAGCCTTAGGTTTAGCTGCTTTCTTTGCCTTTGCTGGCTTCTTTTTAGCTTGTTTTGTTTCTCCAATTCTGAAAGATCCGGATGCTCCAGTTCCCTTGGACTGCTTCAAACTGTTGTTCTTAACTCCGGCTCTGAGTGCAAGTTTTAAATGAGCGTTTACTGACTTGGCATCTTTTCCGACGTTGAAGTTGGCCATGATGTACTTCAAAATTGCTTGCCTTGAGGAACCTCCACGTTCTTTCAAAGCAGCGATGGCTTTCCCAATCATCTCGCTGTATTTAGGATGTGCTGAAGGCTTCTTTGGCTTAGCTGCTGCCTTTTTCTTTGGTGATTTAGCTGGTGCTGGTGCTGGTGCTGCTACGTCTGCCATTTTGAACGATTCAAAATATTATCCTTTACGAAGTTTATACTACGAATAACGATTTGAAAATAACGCCATTGAAGGCCTCGTTTATTTATAACAGACGAACGCGGACCTCGACGAAGACACCCTTAAAAAATAACTTGTAAAATCCATTAGGAAGTACACCACTAATTCGTGGCCCCATTGCTTTCTATGTTAAATTCCTCAATTTCAAGCAGACACAGCTCTTTTGTTTCAAGTTCAAATAAAGTGACAATCATTGCATGTCAAAGCAACACTTTACGGTGTCTTGTACTGGAAAAATCAACATACCTTTAATGGCATATAAGAAAGAACTGGTTCCCGGAACTTCGGATGTACCAAAACAGGTACTTCAGATCTGACATACAGGCAAAAAGTACCCTCTTTATAAAATTTGGTGCAGTTTTTTTAATATTTAAAATTATAAGTCAAAAAGTGTTCTACAATGATCACCAGTCATTAAGCTTTCATTTGATACCAACAATACCTAAATATTCTACATATTTTGAAAGTTACACTCATGCGTAGGAACTATTTTGTGCTAAATATGTACTACTTTCTGGTATGTGCTTTCTGGCCGGGCCGAATTAGTGGTGTTACACCTATAACAGAACAAAACTTGCTATACTGACTTCAGCATCACTTTATTTCATTCTATGATCTATTTCAAGCAATAAAAATTACATAAAGCTTAAGTCCAAATACTATTTTACTAATTTTAAGCTCAAATTGGACTGGTAGTAACATATAGGTTATTCAAAGAAAACTGCATATGGATATTATAAATGGCCAATATACTTATTTTATTCTCAATATCATTGTTGTATTTAATAATTTCTGTTAGGAAAACAATGTGCTTACCAATAGTCATATTTCACCAGAGTTTGTTCATTTAATAAAAATATATTAGACCAAACCTAAAACATAATTGAGAAAATTGTCCCCCCTTTTTTCTTCAAATTGGAAAAGGGACATTTTTGGTATAAACCATACTTCTGTGGTACAACATAGATTATAAAGAGCAATTTATATATATTTCAGCTGGATAACTTGCTAAGCTGGTTCAAAATTGCATGTACAGTGAGATTTTGGAATTCTTATATGAGTATATACCAATTGCCTAGATTGTAAAAGGCTATCATAAGAAAACCAATAAAACTTGAAAAATCATAGAATTATTTGACCAAGAGCTATTTTTTTTACCATAAACAAGTCATTATATACATGTTTTATTGATTGCAATCCCAAATAATGCAAAAATAAGAATTTGGAGTCAAGTCTTAACTGCATGCATGTTGTGTGACCATAAAAGGCTAAAATACCTGATTATGTCAATTTAAGAGCTGAAATTTCCCATAAACAGAATTGTTCATCCAAAAAAGATGATTAAACATGTTTACTTACATCAAATATGACTTATTTTCATTGGAATAGGTACAACTTCTAAGAATTGAATTTCTGATGATTCTCTGTAATAGGAAGTACACCACTAATTCGTGGCCCCATTGCTTTCTATGTTAAATTCCTCAATTTCAAGCAGACACAGCTCTTTTGTTTCAAGTTCAAATAAAGTGACAATCATTGCATGTCAAAGCAACACTTTACGGTGTCTTGTACTGGAAAAATCAACATACCTTTAATGGCATATAAGAAAGAACTGGTTCCCGGAACTTCGGATGTACCAAAACAGGTACTTCAGATCTGACATACAGGCAAAAAGTACCCTCTTTATAAAATTTGGTGCAGTTTTTTTAATATTTAAAATTATAAGTCAAAAAGTGTTCTACAATGATCACCAGTCATTAAGCTTTCATTTGATACCAACAATACCTAAATATTCTACATATTTTGAAAGTTACACTCATGCGTAGGAACTATTTTGTGCTAAATATGTACTACTTTCTGGTATGTGCTTTCTGGCCGGGCCGAATTAGTGGTGTTACACCTATAACAGAACAAAACTTGCTATACTGACTTCAGCATCACTTTATTTCATTCTATGATCTATTTCAAGCAATAAAAATTACATAAAGCTTAAGTCCAAATACTATTTTACTAATTTTAAGCTCAAATTGGACTGGTAGTAACATATAGGTTATTCAAAGAAAACTGCATATGGATATTATAAATGGCCAATATACTTATTTTATTCTCAATATCATTGTTGTATTTAATAATTTCTGTTAGGAAAACAATGTGCTTACCAATAGTCATATTTCACCAGAGTTTGTTCATTTAATAAAAATATATTAGACCAAACCTAAAACATAATTGAGAAAATTGTCCCCCCTTTTTTCTTCAAATTGGAAAAGGGACATTTTTGGTATAAACCATACTTCTGTGGTACAACATAGATTATAAAGAGCAATTTATATATATTTCAGCTGGATAACTTGCTAAGCTGGTTCAAAATTGCATGTACAGTGAGATTTTGGAATTCTTATATGAGTATATACCAATTGCCTAGATTGTAAAAGGCTATCATAAGAAAACCAATAAAACTTGAAAAATCATAGAATTATTTGACCAAGAGCTATTTTTTTTACCATAAACAAGTCATTATATACATGTTTTATTGATTGCAATCCCAAATAATGCAAAAATAAGAATTTGGAGTCAAGTCTTAACTGCATGCATGTTGTGTGACCATAAAAGGCTAAAATACCTGATTATGTCAATTTAAGAGCTGAAATTTCCCATAAACAGAATTGTTCATCCAAAAAAGATGATTAAACATGTTTACTTACATCAAATATGACTTATTTTCATTGGAATAGGTACAACTTCTAAGAATTGAATTTCTGATGATTCTCTGTAATAGGAAGTACACCACTAATTCGTGGCCCCATTGCTTTCTATGTTAAATTCCTCAATTTCAAGCAGACACAGCTCTTTTGTTTCAAGTTCAAATAAAGTGACAATCATTGCATGTCAAAGCAACACTTTACGGTGTCTTGTACTGGAAAAATCAACATACCTTTAATGGCATATAAGAAAGAACTGGTTCCCGGAACTTCGGATGTACCAAAACAGGTACTTCAGATCTGACATACAGGCAAAAAGTACCCTCTTTATAAAATTTGGTGCAGTTTTTTTAATATTTAAAATTATAAGTCAAAAAGTGTTCTACAATGATCACCAGTCATTAAGCTTTCATTTGATACCAACAATACCTAAATATTCTACATATTTTGAAAGTTACACTCATGCGTAGGAACTATTTTGTGCTAAATATGTACTACTTTCTGGTATGTGCTTTCTGGCCGGGCCGAATTAGTGGTGTTACACCTATAACAGAACAAAACTTGCTATACTGACTTCAGCATCACTTTATTTCATTCTATGATCTATTTCAAGCAATAAAAATTACATAAAGCTTAAGTCCAAATACTATTTTACTAATTTTAAGCTCAAATTGGACTGGTAGTAACATATAGGTTATTCAAAGAAAACTGCATATGGATATTATAAATGGCCAATATACTTATTTTATTCTCAATATCATTGTTGTATTTAATAATTTCTGTTAGGAAAACAATGTGCTTACCAATAGTCATATTTCACCAGAGTTTGTTCATTTAATAAAAATATATTAGACCAAACCTAAAACATAATTGAGAAAATTGTCCCCCCTTTTTTCTTCAAATTGGAAAAGGGACATTTTTGGTATAAACCATACTTCTGTGGTACAACATAGATTATAAAGAGCAATTTATATATATTTCAGCTGGATAACTTGCTAAGCTGGTTCAAAATTGCATGTACAGTGAGATTTTGGAATTCTTATATGAGTATATACCAATTGCCTAGATTGTAAAAGGCTATCATAAGAAAACCAATAAAACTTGAAAAATCATAGAATTATTTGACCAAGAGCTATTTTTTTTACCATAAACAAGTCATTATATACATGTTTTATTGATTGCAATCCCAAATAATGCAAAAATAAGAATTTGGAGTCAAGTCTTAACTGCATGCATGTTGTGTGACCATAAAAGGCTAAAATACCTGATTATGTCAATTTAAGAGCTGAAATTTCCCATAAACAGAATTGTTCATCCAAAAAAGATGATTAAACATGTTTACTTACATCAAATATGACTTATTTTCATTGGAATAGGTACAACTTCTAAGAATTGAATTTCTGATGATTCTCTGTAATAGGAAGTACACCACTAATTCGTGGCCCCATTGCTTTCTATGTTAAATTCCTCAATTTCAAGCAGACACAGCTCTTTTGTTTCAAGTTCAAATAAAGTGACAATCATTGCATGTCAAAGCAACACTTTACGGTGTCTTGTACTGGAAAAATCAACATACCTTTAATGGCATATAAGAAAGAACTGGTTCCCGGAACTTCGGATGTACCAAAACAGGTACTTCAGATCTGACATACAGGCAAAAAGTACCCTCTTTATAAAATTTGGTGCAGTTTTTTTAATATTTAAAATTATAAGTCAAAAAGTGTTCTACAATGATCACCAGTCATTAAGCTTTCATTTGATACCAACAATACCTAAATATTCTACATATTTTGAAAGTTACACTCATGCGTAGGAACTATTTTGTGCTAAATATGTACTACTTTCTGGTATGTGCTTTCTGGCCGGGCCGAATTAGTGGTGTTACACCTATAACAGAACAAAACTTGCTATACTGACTTCAGCATCACTTTATTTCATTCTATGATCTATTTCAAGCAATAAAAATTACATAAAGCTTAAGTCCAAATACTATTTTACTAATTTTAAGCTCAAATTGGACTGGTAGTAACATATAGGTTATTCAAAGAAAACTGCATATGGATATTATAAATGGCCAATATACTTATTTTATTCTCAATATCATTGTTGTATTTAATAATTTCTGTTAGGAAAACAATGTGCTTACCAATAGTCATATTTCACCAGAGTTTGTTCATTTAATAAAAATATATTAGACCAAACCTAAAACATAATTGAGAAAATTGTCCCCCCTTTTTTCTTCAAATTGGAAAAGGGACATTTTTGGTATAAACCATACTTCT